ATGTGGCCAGAAAGAAGGGGGGGGGGTTTATTATCCATACCTCATTGTTTCTGAAACATTTATGGGATGAGAACAACAAAAATTAGAGCTCTCGAAAAGTGGCAAGAAATTCGATTCAGTGGTTATTGGCGGCGAAGGCTTGTCATCATTTAAGAAAGAGGAAGGATAAGAAAATTATTAGAGAAGGTGTGGAGTTCTACAGTTATGACAATTTCTATGAAGGGGAATGATCCTTCAGTCCAGGGTGAGAATTCATAGGTTTAAAGTACAGTTGGGGTAGATGCCAGTTTGGAATTGATACCAATTCACAGAAAGATATAAGTGCATAAGATGTGGGTTTTTGAACTTTTGAATGTTTATAGAGTTACAACAGAATTCAGAATTCTACATTAGGCATGTTCATACTTCTCTATAATTATTTTGTGAATGAGAGATGCAAAGGGGATTGGATTGATGGGATGTATGATGGATACGACATAGAGAGCTGGGCATGGGGGAGTCGGTACTAGGGATAGTATCAACGACTTTTAATTGTTTTGAAATTTGCATGCTTGGATTTTTTGGGGTGAAGATTTAGTTTTGAGATTAGTGGGGTGTCTAAACCCTTCAGACCATTTATACCTAGTGGTGCAGTCGCCAGTGAGTCAAAAAATCCACCGAAAATGGGAATGGGATGAAGCTAAGGACTAAGTCATATTTAGTTCAATTTTCATTCTTTCTTATTTTTAATCAAGATGAAATTTTAAAATAGAAAATAATGGATAAAAATAGGTAGAATGAGAAAATATTGCTATAAACTAAATATTTTTTTCCTAAAAAATGAATTCTTTTCAAATTGACAAGATGTTCTATATTGCTTATCAATTGACATAAATGTTGTTTAAAAGTGATGTAATCGTTTCTGGTCACATACCAATTTTTTGTGATGTATCAATTTTTTTGGCTAAGTACCTCGTCATTTGACCTGCTCCCAGGAGAGGATGGTGGAGCTCCCTGGTGGTGAAGTGCCTGGTGGTGAGCTACTTGGTGACGAGCTCCTTGGTGGTGAGCTACCTGGTGACGAGCTCCCTGGTGGTGAGCTATCTAGTGACGAGCTCCCTGGTGGTGAGTTACCTGGTGACGAGCTACTTGGTGGTGAGCTACCTGGATGGACTCGTCATTTGACCTGCTCCTAGGCGGCCTGTAACTCAGAGGGTGGTGGAGCTCCTTGGTATAGCGCAACCCGACTGCCCTCTACATGAGGTGATCTCCTCTCCTTTGTAGGCGGCGGGAGCTGAGAGACCTGCGATAACTCCATCTTTTCCTCCTCTTTGTAGGCGGCGGGAACTGAGGAACCTGGTAGAACTGAATCAGAGGACCCGGGGGTATTTACCCAGCGGGGACTCTCCGATGCCTAAGTTAGCA